TCACCCCGGAAGAGGATTCTGTGCAGGCAGGTCAGGATCGATGGTAGGGCGCTCATGCAGCTCGAGCCCTGCCGACAACACCTTATTGAAACCTTAGTTACCAGCGATCACAAGTGATAAATAACTCTGACCCCGTCATCATTACGGGCGAAGGATGTGACCTATTCCACCGGTGAGGAGCAGAAACAGTGGCAGCTTTTAATGGTGTCATTTATTCCTAGCTGGCCCCTTCCTTCGGTGGCTGGAGAAGCGTGTGCCAGAGGACAGCTGTGGAGCAGGGAGCTGGGATCCTGTCAGCCCCAGATCAAGGTCAGAGCCATGGCAGGCTGGCCCACCAGTGACAATCCCCAAACCCTTTGTGCTACAGGCTGCCAGGTATGAGTAATAGGCTGTCAGGGGAGTGCTCTCAGGTTCCATCTCCGAAATCCGCACTTTCAATAATAACCCCTTAACATACCAGCACGTATGGTTTTCGGTTCAATGATACCTGGTTGCTGGATTTGATAGGGAAACAAGGAGAGCTTACTATCTGTTTGCTATTTTATGAATGTTTACTTTTTTGACATTACTGACCTGCCCTTTGTGTTCTGACATTCTATGAGACCCCTGCCACAGTAGGGTCTCTCACGCTCACTGCGGGGCCATTGGACTTTAATAACTGTCCCACCTGCTTTAGAGAGAAGAGCAGCAAGGTATAAGTCAACTGGTGTCCCGTTCAACCACACCAACCCAAACCTTGGCTGCTTACAGCACCATGCTAACATGTGACCACCTTCGGCCGAGCAAGTCTGACCAGCATCTCATGATGATGTAAAAACCCACTGATCTGTCTAGGAGATTTAAAAATCCATTTTGGGCAAATAATTCTCCAGCACAGAATATAATTCAATCTCTTGTCTTAGAAAACAGTCAATGGCACAATGAGTAACTGACATACGTTATTCACTATATTTATAATCTAGCAGTTTATCCCAGGAATCAGACTAGTGAAGGTATCTCGCATTTAGCCAATGCTTCTAAGTTGTTTTCTAAATTCTAGCTGCCATTAAATCTAATCTGTATTCATACTAATCCTGGCCTCTCTATTCAGTTTGCTTATTGATATTTTATATTAGACTATCACTTGAGAGCAAGAGCAGGGCTGCATATCACTTTAGATGGCCAGTCCCAGCCCTGCCTGCCTTATCGGAGAGCAGTGGCTCTGAGCCTGAGCACTGGAGGGTCGCAGTGCGTCTCAGCATCTTACATTAAGCCAAGCCAGAGAAGGCTAAGTTGCTTCAGATTTCATAATAATTAGTTCTTTTGGGTGCTTAAGGGATCGAGCAGATTTAAACCCTCAATACACCGAGGACCAGGGTAAGGAAAGCCTGCCAGCAAGTGCATCGGGCTGCCGGCAAACTTAGAAACTTATTCCTGGTGAGCAGACCCCAGGCTATCAGGAGAATGATATGCAGGAGGGTTAGCCGCGGGAATCACGCTCCTCCAAAACCCTCTTTTAACGACCTGCGTTTTTTACGTCTTTGACATGCTCTGTCTGGGCCCCTATTGTGTTTGCGAGGCTACCAAATGCTACTGGCTCATTCACACATTAGCAGCGTGAAAGCGGCTCAAACAGCGCCTTATGGGGGGGGGGGGGGGGGGAGGGGTAGGCATTGATGACATTCCCGGTATTCAATATTCATGACTCTCCCTCATATATCAGTATATTTCATCTCTGAATCTGTCTTGTGTATCGGAACGGCTGCAATGCCTCACTGTACATCTGTTACCCCCACAAAGACAGTCACTCCAGCAACTCAAAAGAATAACAGTAGTAGCCGTGTGTGTGTGTGTGTAGCATTTGCGCCGAAATACTTTGCTTTGAAGCCCTTAAAGATACTATCAAAATGCAGACCACGTGAGAAGCCTCACTTCACTGTTTATCAGGCCGCATCACAAAAAAGAAAAAAAAATAGTAGATTACAGGGTGTATTCATGTTCAAAAGGCAGCCACCTAGAATTAATGACTGAAAAACATTTCAAATTATCCAAATATTTAACAGCCCGTAGCTGTGCTTTTTCTGGCCCAATGTTAAAAGGCGCCGAGTGAGGACGCCCTGCCAGCAAACGGCTACCAGACTAGCCCGAGCCACTCCCTGCATCAGCAGCACAGTGGGAAGCCTCCAGGGATTCTGTTCTCACAGCCTGTCCTGCTTGGGAACAGATCAGGCCTGGCGAGTGGCCTTATTGTCCATGAGCCGTATCGAAATATAATTCCCATCTCTCTCTTCCGGCTGGGTAGCTTATATGTCCCCACACTTTCTTCCCAGCATTTTCCCGCACCCTGTCCTTCGTACACTGTCTAATTTCACTTTTACGCAGTCGCACTTAACCATTAGCGTTCCTGAGATCTTTTGGGAAACATCAAAGGCAGTTGCTTATTTACCAAACTCCCTGCCGGCCTCCCATTTCCTGCCATCCCCTCTGACCCATTCCGAAATGCTCCACCTTGCCCCCATTCGGCATCTCTCTCCACTCCCCCGTTTCCAAAGAGCGGCACTTTCAGATCTCTGCCGGAATCCTGTCCCATGGCCCACTAATGGGCCGCTGTCATCCCACGCCGCAAAGCGCCCGCTTGGCTTCGCTCAGAAGATGCGAAGACTTTTGAAATTGTGAAATTAATCAGTGCTCCACAGCTGCTTTCGCCAGAAATATCAGCCGTATTCCTCAGACACAGGGCCGGCTGATTCAGACAGCTGTGCTAGGGGCAGGCGTCTTTACAGAAGGGGTGCGCTGAACGCTCGTACCAGGGAAGCAGGTGGGCCTTCCCTCATCACACCTAGCGCTGCTTGATCTCGAAAACAAAGACTTCCCTCTCGCATTAACGGGTCCTTTGAAGAACACTCCCCTGTGTCTCCTCTCACAGCGATTTTTCTCCCCCATTTATGAGAGGAGACGGGTCTTGTCGATGAGTCATTGTGATGACTAAACGAGACAAGGACTAACGAGCAAGAGTCGTTCTCTCTCCGAGTCCCTTTCTTCCTTTATTTCCTTATTTTTGTTGAGAAATAAATGATGGTTTAGGGAAGAGGAAGTAGAAGGGAAGATAGAGGAACGATTAATCAGGATCACGCTTTGAAGTTCTCTGTGGCGGACGGCCTCTATTCAGCTGCAGAGGTCTGGGCTGCTCCAGATACTGGTTCCCTCCACCAACTGTTGGTTGTTGCTAAGAGAAGTGAGGGAACCAGAGGCTCGCCCAGCATCTTCCAGGAAGCTCAGAGGATACGCTTTCAGAAGGAAAATAATTAGACACCTAAAGGCGAGTGAGCCAACCAAGTTTGCTGACCAAAGAAAAAAGCATAAATGAGCTTTTGAAGTGTCTCCCCCCCACCACCACCAACGTTGATGCCAATCCTACGGAGAATCACACAGAGGAGCCTCTATCTGAGCCGTCTCCGTCCCCAACATCCCTCCTTTGCCGTTTACCTCGGCCACTCTCCGTCGGGCTCAGAGATTTCTGAAAGAGATCACAGACACGAGCGTAGCGGGTAAATAAGCCTTCCTGGACGGTGCCGTTTTGCTTTGTTTCTCTACATCATTTATCACTCGACTGATATTTCCCTCCACATTTGCCTGCAGTCTGCAGCTCAGCTTGTTATGAAATGATGATACATATTCAACACACGTCTTTAAAGCAGAAGATTCAGCGGGGAGCTTGGAACATTCAAGCTTAGAGGAGACTCCTCTCAGAAATCCTGCTTAGCTCTGTTGAATCCTCAGAGAACGTGTTGACAGGCTCATGAGATACGGTGTTAGTCATGACTAGCCAGGAACTGAAACACTGCGGTTCTAATATTACACACACACTGCTACTCTTCTATAGTTTTTTCATACATTAATTTTATGCATAACAAATTACAATTCTACACATACTCACAACTGAATCTTTAGTACTCATGTTTAATATCTCCCTCAAGAATACATCAGACCAAGGCGTGGCATTGAGACCAGTCGCACACAGAGTATATGTTCAGAACCACCATGCTACCTTCCAGTGAAATTCCAATAGTCCCTTCCATCAACTATCCAGTTTCTCAGGTACATATTTAGTCAATCAGTCTGGGAACAGTGGTCGAGCTGCCCTTCTCCAGTACAAGAATATATACCTTGCAAGATCTAGCTGACTGCAGCTAACAGAGGATTCAGTTCTTCAGATTTAAAATAGAAGGTTGGGGCGCCATCTGGTGTTTGAATGAGATCACTGTCACATTATACATGTTCTTCAAATGCATTAATTAAAATTCTGTGAAAAGCTTACCAGGGTCAACCAAAAAAAAAGAAACAACATATTTTCAGTACACAGCTGAAAGTCTCCATAAGTCTGGTCACAATTAATGTCAGCATATGGTATGCAGAAGCAGGGAGGTAACTAGCAGAAATATGACACTGACTAAATACAAGGGTATTTGAAACGGGCACTAAGCCTCATTTTGTGAAAACTACTGCAGGCAACCTTGACATCCTCATGTCTATTTGGAGACAGTACACTAGTGGTAAGTCATGCAAAATATTTAGTGCAAGACTTTGGACAGAATTCATTCATACAAAGCCGGTGATGCCGCCACGGCATGTCATCCCGCAGAGCCTGGAAGGCATCAAGGCAGTGCAGTTAAAGCCTGTCAGGATGAACTCCTTTGAGGTAGCAGCGAATACTTATAATGCGGTCAAAGCATTTGAATTCCTAAGTGTCATGAGCAATGGTAAGCTTGATTGTCAAATGCTAACAAAAAAAAATTTACCGCATGAAGTTGCTTGCAAACATGACCCACAAAACAATGTTGGTTTAAAAACATGCTGGACTCGCTATATGCTGCAGGTGATACACTGTGACTTGTACAGACCCCCTCCACTGCGCCCTCCCCAGCACCACCTTATAACTAAGGAGGCATGCATACTACATACATATCTTCCCCTTACTACGTCCCATTTAACTGCAACGGTTTGACAAGTTTACAACGACATGAAAAAATCCACAAAACTTTATTTACAAATACAAGAAGCATATTCATCCATTAGAAGTTTCCAGCGAACCAGGAGCCTATGCCAGTACACACAAGGCAGGAGACCCTGGATGGGATGCAGGCCCACACAAGATGCTCGAGCTTCTAAATCACCTTCTGGGGCAGGCAAATATGAACTTAAAGCCTAATAACTTGCCTTGGTATAGCTAGGTTAAAACAAAACAGCAAATTGAGGGCCACGTTTAAATATCTGTACAAACTTCCCATTCACATATGAATAACAATACGATGCCCATCTAACTTGGGGTGGGGGTGGGCCACCCAATCATGCGGATCACGGCAGCTTCGATGCGCCCTCTCTGGACAGCCGGTCCGCCTCCTCATTGCCCTTGTAGCCCGCGTGGCCTGGGATGTGCAGCTGCAGACACAAGGGGGAGGATTTAATGACGAGGCGAGTGATGCTTAGTATGTCTATGGAGGCACGTCTCAATTCCACTGTGCAACAGCAGGACAGCGAGCTAACAGTCCCGCAGAGCTACCATCAGCATCAATCTGACAGCGCCCATTAAAATGATCATATAAGGAAATCCAAACACACAGACAATTTACTATATGATTCTCATTCATTATTCATCCAGCATATGGTATAGCAGCCTACTGCATCGATTAATACTCACCCATAGAAGGCACCCTGAATGGTATAGCAGCCTACCTCAGGGATTAATAACACCCAAACGAGACGCCCAAGACGGTATAACAGCCATTCACAGGAATTAATACTCACCCATAGAAGGCACCCTGAGTGGTATAGCAGCCCATCATAGGAATTAATACTCACTTAAACGAGACGCCCAGGGGTGCGTTTCCCAAAAGCTATGTTAGCAACTTGAGTAGCTCGAATTATGCAAGAATGATGCAGGCATTTCTCAAAACCATAGTTCAAACATTCCATAATATATCAAACTATGAACGTTCGCAAACACTGTTGTTAAGTTGTGTAGTTTAAACTACAGCTTTCGAGTTGTAGTTAGGAGCTTGGTTCCGGGGAAAAACGTCATCGATAGTGGAAAATGCAGTCGAGGAGAGCAGTCAGCATATAAGTAAGGTGAAAATATTAAATATCCTGCTGTACAAACATCTATAATGTCAAGTGCATTGAAAATGTAGTTGTAAGAGTACTTTTTACGTACTTCTCTGTTCATGTGTACGGTATGATTGGAGAGGATGTTTACCCTTTGTGTTATATGGTAGAATTCATTACATGGATAAATACATATTTAGGGCTGCACAATTATGACATCACAATATCACATCAGGTAATATTGCGTTATTTATAAAACAAAAAGGAGATGAAATTACCCTAAATAAACTATTGGCAAATAGTATTAAACTAGTAGTTTAGTAAGTTGCCGGTGTTCTCACGAGTTGATTTAACAAAGCAGTACTGACAAACGAGGTATGAGTATTACACACATGCACATGGAGATGACTATGCTGAAACAATTTATCATTCAGCACTTACGTACGCACAGTATTAAATAGGAAAAAAAACATGGAGAAAGCAAATAAAACACGGGAAAATTAAAGGCTAAAAAAAAATAAATCACTTCTTAATCAGAGAGTTTTTGTTGCAATATGAAAAAAGACAGCAGTGCTTGGATACAAAGCCACGGCTGTGCAGGTGAGGAGTCTGGGGTACCATGGTGGGGGTTTTACACACCCATGAATCCCACTGAGCCATAAGGCTGCACCAACGGCAAGGGATCAGGAATTTATAAGTGTTTATACTGTGACTGAAATAATAAACATATAATTACATATAATTACAGATACAGCCGATGTCACTTTTTTCCCCCTCTACAAGAGGTATCAAGTATCATGAGACTATTGCTGTTTTTCAGTTTAGTACTATTATTGTTGTTATAAGACTGACATAATAAATTAATAATGTAATATTGGCACAACGTGACCTGCCATGAGTGCAAGACCAATCACCTCTGGAACCACTGTAGTTCAACTACAGTGGTTCAAACTAACGTGGTTCAAATTACTGTGGTACTAACAAAGTATGATGGTTTCAGGAAACAATTGTACTGCAGATGTAGTTCGTTTGAACTAGGAATGCACAATTAATCGTAAAAACACGATCTCGATTCACACCTCTGTGCGATCTAATTTAGAAATGTCAACGGTTCTTCTGCATTGTATCGACTGGATAAAAACAAACCCTCCTATTTTTCCACAAAGAGTCTCAAGTGCTCCGTGATTCTGCATTCTTGTTAAAGGGTGTTTTTCCACTGCACCAGGTACCTTACTTTTGGTGCTTTGAGAAAGTACGGTACTCCAGGGTGTTGGTTTTCCACTGCTATAAAATCTGGTGCTGGTGCTGAATGACATCACAACGCGAGGCGGGGTATTTTGTACTGAATTCAAAAAATGGCTGCAGTAGGACTGGATGATGTGCGATATTAATACCAACATTGGATGTTGTGCTGCTCAATTCTTACTTTGCCAGTCAGCTAGGCTTTTTCTTACCTTCAATTCGGCATGGACATTATAATGCAGGGAGTTTAGGTTTTGATAGAACATTTTTACTCTGCCATAGGAAAAAAATATATAAAGTTTTACTATTTTAATTATTATTCCTTTTCAAGATTATCAAGTATGTGTTTAAAAATCAGTTTAAAGTTTACCTCCACTGCTTTTGCATGAGTGCTGCTTGTGTTCTCCAAGACGACCAGAATCATTGACATCCTGCCTGTTTTTTCCTATTATTCCTAGACAGGTTAGTGAGAAACTCCTTTTTTGTTTTATGAATACCCCAATATTTATTACAATAAAATCACATTGCAATACTTAGGAATTTTCCAATACCGTGCTGTCCTAGTATACTATACAAAATACTTTATTTCTTTTAATGCTATACTGATCTCTGATTCTTCAGACCAGATCACAGTTAAAGCTTGGGTAACTTCATTTGTCCTATTTGTATAACCAATCGAAAAAGAAAGTGTTTGAAGTCCCAGCCGAAAGTACCAAAAAGCATTCCACTGGCACTTTTGGTATGGCTGTTTTGGTTGGTTAAATAAATAAATAGACAGACAGACAGATGTACTGTTCTCTGTTTCTACAGCATGCTCTCTTCATCTAATAAAAACAGACTTACCAGGATCACACATAGAGCAGCCAAGATCGTCCGCCTTCCCATTCCAAATCTGACGAAAACCACAGAGCTGCTATTCGCCTCGCAACAACCATAACCAATGACTCTAGTCACCCTCTTAACACATAGCTTACTCTGCTGCAATCAGGTTGCAGATACAGGACTCTGAAATGGAAACGGGCTCCTTTGGCAAGAGTTTCGTCCCCACTGCCATAGCGGCACTTAACTAGCTACATTAATCTTGTACCCTTCAAATCCCTGCTGCTAATTGTGTGTATATTGTGTGTATATGTTTCTGTGCGCCGTTTTATGTATTTGTGCCTAACATATTGGAGATCGGTACTGTACCTTGCTCGTATTGGAACCAGTGTTAATTTTGACAGCAAACTTTTGACTAAAATGTAATTTAGTTTCAGTCATAATTTAGTCATCTAAATAAATTTAGGTTTTGGTCGGCTAAATATCACAAGATTACAGTCGACTAAAACTACAGTTGATTTAGTCGACTAAACTAAAAGTGCAAAGTGTCATGTTTAAGGTTTCCCTTCAATTTCTGAACGTCATTATGTTCACCAAGATAAAATGAAACCAATGTTAAGGAATGGTGTTCAGGTCTGACTGTGCAGTACACAGAGATTTCACTCTTATTTGAAAATATATTTACCCGGAAACCGAGTACTGTAAAATCAGTAGTGCCATTAGTGCAAAAATAAAATCACTTCAAAGAAAAAGTGCATAGGCTATAATGCCACCAGACATGCTCTCTCTGAATATTAAAATAAAAATATTAAAATAAATATTTGTAATATTTTTATTTGCTATTGTTCACTGTTAAATGTTTCACCTGAAATTCTCAAATATCTTCAAAGAAAAAGACCAATAATGGTCTCAGGGATTTATACCCATTATCAAGAAAAAAATATCCAAACATTGAAAACATACTTCTCAACGACTATCAGCAGCAGGAAGTACAATCATTCTATTTTCAACAGCAAAATAATTACCTCAAGGCTACAATTCTATTAGTGTATAGAGCCAAAAATCAACTCAGGTGAAACAAAAAAAAATGTACGTTTTCAGGGTTGCCAAATCTCAAGCTTCTGGTATGATACGCTTTCAGACTCAATCGTACGGCAAATCTATTTTATTCCATTATACACCTAAAATTAGCTGCATCATAAGTATACACGGTTAAATACAAAAAGCAAACTATTTACATGGTAAGAACTGTTACATATGTGTGCAGACATCTCGAATTGAAAATATCACTCCAGCCTGCTGGCCGAAGTTGGCAACGCCGCGTTTTATTTGAGATGAAAAGTAAAATGCTCTGTTATCGCCAATACACCTCCGTCATAGTCTTAGGCCTCGCAAAATCATTTTTATTTAGTTATCGTCTCGTTTCAGCCTGAAAATAAAGGTCGTTGACGATAACGATACCGAAAATTTTTCGTTAACAAAATTAACACTGATTGGAACAGACAAATATCCTTTTAGGACGACAAAAGCTATCTATCTTGAGAAAAAACATTGTTAAAGAAAATTGTGATCTCAATTTTAAGCAAAAAAAAAAAAAAAATCGCATTGTCATTCACATTTTTTTTCAGCATTGTGTAGCCCTATTTTGAACATTGTGCGATGCATCTTTAATGCTAACTTCCATCATTGTATGGGAAACACACCCTGGGGCGGTATACCAGCCCGTCACTGGAATTAATACTCACCTGTTTGAGACTTGGGGGTTGGTGGCAGGATTGGCACTCCAGCCACTGGAAAAAACCTCTGGTCCATTTGGACTAGTGTGGTGCTGAGGTATCACCCGCGACATGGCAGTACTCAGGTTCTCATCCCTGAGGTAGTTTGTTGTGTAATCAGTGCGCTACCCTTACCTCGCTCCTCTCTCATACGAGACGCCCTGGATGGTATAGCAGACCATTACGGTAATTAACACTCACCCAGATGACTTCAATTTCTGCATTTAACTTGTCGAGCTTCTCAAACTCGTCCCTGTGAGTGACCAGCCCACCGTTCTTCAGCCTCCACCCATTCTGCTTCCATTTTTTCACCCAGCACGTCACACCTAGATTTGAGGGTGCCCGTAAGTAAACGGATGTGTAGCTATGAGACATGTGTTTTAGATAAGTTGGCGTCTTCAATGAAAAATAAGAGCTGGTATCTAGGGATTCCCAGGTCAGCTTTTGGAGGGGTGTGTTGTTTTCTACACAGATGATCTATCAATTCAGCATTTTGAAATCAAAATGACAAAATATCGGCCCTTGAGAATCAGGGTTCAACATAAATAAACGATCAGTAATGGTGACAGAGAACAAAGGCACTGGAAAATTCTCACCATTGATAGTGAACATGCTGTCAGTGTAGAGAACCAGCTTCTTTATCTTCAAGTCTTTAGCCTGCTCCAGGGCTCGACAGGCGGCCTGAGGACGACGAAAAACCCTAATTAAAGGAGGGGGCAGAGACTTGCACTGTCCATCAGTTTCATTTAGACAAATGAGAAAACACTTGCCAGTAGTTCTGCCCTCTGGTTGGTTTGCCTTCCCTGCAGCCTATCAGATACATTTCTTTAACAAATGAGAAAAGCATCCATGGGATGAGGATTAAAAATTACACACACCATCATCAAATCAACAGGAAAGATCAGAGACTTTCAGAATCATCCCCATCTTCTGTTGGAAACTAAGGGTGCACCACTACACCAAGTACCATACTCTTTGTGAGAAAGTACCAAAAGTAGGGTACTTCAAGGTGTTGGTTTGTGTTTTCACTTCAGCTGCTCGTGCATTGTGCTAGTGCTGCTATGCTATTGCACAGTGTAAAACCACCTTTTTGTTTAGTGATAATTTGAATTACTCCCATTACATAGTGATATTAAAGGAAAACATTTCATATAACGAACTGAAGCATTTTCAAAATCATAATGGTAATTTCATTAAAACAAAAAAAAATAAAAAAAGATGCATCTTGATTTGAAATATTGACGTGGACGCATTTTCAGTGTCAATGTCACTGACTACATTGCAGCAGCCCTAATCCAGTACTGTTGTCCATGGTGTAATCTTATGGCTCTTTCCACTTACAGATGGTGATCAGGTCCCCAGTACACACCGATGCCAGCCCGGGCCCCTTGTTTCCCGTTGCAAGAACAGCAACCATCCGTGTACACTACCACCGCATCTCCTGCAAAGGAAACCCCGAATGCACCTCATTTCAAGATCAAGAGATATGACAAAGAATCATTTCATAATATGCAACTACAATAACAGAAAATGTTACTTTTATTGAGTTTTGAAATGTGGCTGTCAGGTTTTGCATTTATACCACTGTGATGTTTGTATGGGCCTTACACAATTACATACCTTATTTAAGTATAAAACAACTATACAATGATCTTGCACATGTGACTTGACAACAAATGGCTATATATTCAACCTCTCGCCCAATCATTTACCCATAAAGGTAAGACCGTCCCTGCTGCCTGTGTCCTCTGCACATTTCTGTCGTTTGGGAGACAGCTCGTCGTCAAAATTCACATGAGGCCTCTTCCCCTCAACAGACCGAGTTGGGAGCACGGCTTTAAAGATTTCTGTGGAGGCTGCACTTCCAGAACAACCTGCTGAAACACCGAAAGATACAAAAGTATAATTTGCAAGTAAAATACAGCGCGTTAACCGAATTTATTTTACGTTGCAACGTACATAACATGGACGTTTCAATGCACGGCCTAAAGTTCTGAAATAATTAACATCGTGCACTTAAGTCTATAAAGAAATCGCAAGCAAATCTAATATTTAGCAATTGTGCACAACTAAACAAACAATGTGCAATAAATCTTAAATTCTGCAATGTTTCTTCTTAATAAAATACACTATTATAACCAACCAGAAACAGCAGACGACGAAGATGAGTCTGCTGATTGTCCCCTTACGAAAGCCCACGCGTCCTCTTCGGAGGCAAATTTCTTATAAACGGCAGAAGGAAACTTCTTAACCTGACTTTCACATTCTTCCCTGAAGAACATTGCATAGTGTAAAATTAATATACGCATGATAAATTACTACGTCTGATCAGCAAATTGAATTTGAATAACGCACCACGTGCTGTAGACACCCGGGTGGTCGCCTTTCCGAACTGCGTAGTAGTATTTCTTCTTCCCCATTTCTACGATACCAGTACAAAACGCTCTCCTTGTTATGCTGTAAAGACTGTTCAGCATTACTTGGGGGAGATTTTGGGTGCTATTTTATCGGCTGTCGTTCATTTTATGTTTGTTTTCTTCTAAGATAAACACTTTAAGCAGTCAAAATTACCTATTTGCAATGTAACCTAACACAGGACAGCTACACAGTAAATAACACTAATCTAATTTAAGACATATAGCAGGCAAACGCATACTTGTACGTGACTTCTGTGCAAACAAGAGTAACGCATCAACGAAGTCACGTTGACTTGGTTCAATAATTCATGCTTTTTAACACTTCCATTGAAAATAAAAGATACTCAATCACGCCAAAGTTACCGTTTCACAGAACGAATGCCGTACTTGGGTTTCGGTCACTTCCGGGTTCTCGATTTCCCATGAGCCCATGTCACACCGCGCTAATAGCAACATCTCGCGATATTCCGGCCTCTTCCCTGGCCGTCGTTGACTGAGGTGGGTTGTAAGAGCTGACACGGGACTTAATATTTTTAAGAAAACATGGCTAATATCACAAATTTTGCACTGTTTGTATTAGCTGTGTATGGTGGAACACATGATACCTTAGATTATCCTTTGTTTTGGTGCGGATGGCCTTTTTGTATGTAAGGTGGCTAAGATCTAGCTGACCGTAATGATCTATGGTAAGACTAGGCCCATGTGTGGTTTGATCGTTTCTATTAGACCTGTTTTTGCGTGTGATTCAAAAGCATGGGGCAAGTATTTTTTGACCAGTTCGGCAGAGTTTTTAAAACTATATCATGCCGTAAATTTGAGTTATCTGAAGGTATAAATTTCACTGACATGTCAAGCGAATGAGAATAGTAGTTGCCCAGATTAAGTAGTTTCAGTGTTCTTGTATCACAGCCTCACGTTTCATCTGACTGGCTGACTGATAGCTAAAGTTTCTACAGCAAATAAATTTTTGTACTCTGAAATGGTAGAGACTGGATTAAACTACGGAGAAAAGCGCGGTTAATCTTAGATGAGGCTTGTTAGCTATTGATCATGTTTCGCCACGATTTAACGTAGTTAACTGCAGCCACGGTACTATACAGTTAACACAGTAATCTTGTAGGCATTGGACTGGTTACCTCAACGTGCATCTTTTCCCCCTTTATTTCTGTAGACCCAGGCCATGTTCAGTACCAGTGCGAAAATCGTAAAGCCCAATGGCGAGAAGCCAGACGAGTTCGAGTCTGGCATCTCCCAGGTGAGTGTCCAAGTCTGAGTGTACAGGTAACCCTCATGGTGACACCTGTGTGTTACCCCTGATGGCTTACTCTTGGTGGAGTATCTCCTTTAACGGCAACCTGACCCCTTTTCTCAAAGCTTTGGATCTCTATTCCAGGCGCTCCTGGAGTTGGAGATGAATTCGGATCTGAAGGCTCAGCTGAGAGAGCTCAATATCACTGCTGCAAAGGTTTGTAATTTTGCTGCTAATTCAATCCTGTATATGTTGAATATGGCAAAATAAATGGACAGGTTATTCCTTATGGGGACATTATCTTAAGTGTCTCCCAACTTAAAAAAAAAAAACTTTGGAAATGGTACCATTAAAATCGACATTTCCCCCAACGTGGACATCCTGTGAGGTTGCTCTCATATGGCTCTGTCCGTGTGGCGTATGGGAGCGCAGCACTTTACGGTGCCGTGACGTACAGTCCCGTTCCACGTCGTTGGATAGTAAGCCAGTCCCCGGCCTTTGGGCTGGTGAGGACGGCGTACTGTATATTCCTACATCTTCCCAGAGCTCTCAGCTATGACTGGGGAGGTAAACCATGCAGTGCACAGATTGACATGACCTGTATTGTGCATGGTGAAAATGAGTACCATAGTTGTTAACTAACTTAAAATGTCCACCAAAGATGTTTGACGACGCGTTAAAACAATACCCCAGGAAATTGAAGTTGCTGGCAACAGGAAAGCAATCATCATCTTCGTGCCGGTGCCCCAGCTGAAGTCGTTCCAGAAGATCCAGGTGCGGCTTGTGCGAGAGCTGGAGAAGAAATTCAGCGGTAAACATGTGGTCTTTATCGCACAGGTACGGCCAGCTCCATCTCCATGTCCTCTTCTTGTGCTACTAGCATGGTCTCTGTTCAGTGGCAGGAGTATGGGGGCCTCTGCTGGTGTGCTTCAGCTATGGTGTCTGAACTGTGCACTCAGTATAAATTTTGTAGTCTCTGAAACGTGACCATTATATGGTCTATTCAAGCTTATGCCATTTCTCATTGATGCATAATAGCTTGCCTTATATTTCTATACTGCGTAGGTTCATGTTAACACAATATGCAGTTCCTGCTTGTTAGGAGCTATGTCCTTTCAAGCCTTACATTACTTGATCCTGCACTAGCAAGATGAGTATTAATGTTTGGAGAAATTAGGCCTATTAAACCTTTTTGTTGGGTTACGCGTCTGTAGCCCAGTTAACCAAATTCTCTTATTACTCTTTTTCTGTTGGATTAAGTCAGTGATTGACAGTACACTAATCCCACCCACTGTTAATCTTAGAACTTTATTTCTCCCATTGCTGCTTTGTGTCCCACCACTGTTCTAAGAATTCAGATTGTAAATCAATTGCTAAAATTAACATTGCACACAAGGGAAATCCACGTGAGAAACTGGAGCAGTGTGGAAGGTGGTAGGACAAGATGACTGACTTTTAAAGTGCATTCCCCTCTTCTGGAAATGGTGTGTGGCTAGCAATTAAACTTATTTTATGTAAATGTTGTAATGTGTGATGTGCTAATGTGAGGTGACCTTGAGCCCATTGATCTCCAACGTGGACATCCTGTGAGGTTGCTCTCATA